AGGGAAATACAACATCCACTAGATGTGGAATGTGTTGGTGGAGCATGTCTACCGTTACCGACGCATCACGAAGATCAATATTTTGGAAGTTGCTTTAAATGATGATTGCCAAAATAGTTGTTTCGAATCTTGTATAACTAAAAAATGTGATAGTCATAAATGTACTTGTGAACATGTTCGAGTTGATATTATGTATTTTCAGGGTATAATACGATCAGAAGATTTTTCAAATTTAAAATTTTAGCCGTATCGTAATTAAAGAAAGTTAAAATTTATGAAAACCAAATGTTTAATCTGGAATATGTATCTTAATCTTAATCACTCACATTTAGTTTTTTGAAATTTAAATTGAGATATTATACGATTGAATGCATTGATCATGAATATACATGCGAACCATAAAAAACAATGTTATGACCGTTAATTGAGTTATGCTTTTTAAAGAAGGGTATGCTTAAACGAATCAATGGACAAATAGTGGATGCACCTAAACTAGTGAGCCAATACTCTAAAGGTCTGAATGGATCTTAGGAAAAAAATATTTTTTCTACCTATTTATTCTTGGCCCACAAAAAATTACATTTTTTAACCATTTTTACTATTTTTTGGAAGAATTATTTTAACCAATTAAATGTAGTAGAATTTTTTCTTCCGTAAAAAAGAGTTATTTGATAACAAAAAATTGATAGTGGACCCAGTAGAAATTGGAGAATTTTTTTTTTTTCATATGCTCACGAGTCATTACATAAAGACAACTTTTACCTTCATATCGAAAACTACAATAGTAGCAAGTATATCACTATATTCTTCGCAATATTTGACAAAATTCATCTTCATAGTTTCCTCATGATCTCTCAACCAATTTTCAATCTTCTCTAAATTTGTCAATTTTGAAAAAGGAAGTTAAAAGTTCATATATCAATTGTTCTCTTGTCCACTCTAAATCAGATGTATAACTTTTATAATATTTCTCTACCTCTGCAAAATTACGCAACTCACCTTTAAACATGATGGCTCTAGAGAGCACAAGGGCAATGTTCGTTTCTTTAGTTGGACGCAATATCTGAATGCAAATATACCAGATATTAGATATTGTTCTTTTGGTCATTTTTAGATTTATATCGAGAAGATGAGTTTTGATACCAATTGTCTTAAATATGAAATATTTAAACTTTTAGATATCTAAAATCGGTGCCTTTAGTTGCAACATATACATCTCAATATGTTAAAAGACCAAAATGTCCTCATTGTAATTAAAAGAATTACACTTTCAAACCCTAAGGGGTAGGATATATAATAACATCTGCCTCCCTAAAATAACCTCCGCCTCCCTAAAATTTCAGATCTGATATTTTCTCAAGTCGTCGTGAACCTCAATCCTTCGATTGCTTCGTTTCTTTGGAAGATTCACTGGAAAAACGCTGATTCTCACTGGTTTTTATCGTTGTCTTTTGTTTCTGTAAGTTATTCTACACGTTTCTCTTTTTGGATTTTAATTTCTTGTTCCGTAATGGTTATGGATTTTTTTATCGTTCAAATCCTAAGGAGTGTTACTGGGACTATGATATTTAATAACCTTTGCCTCCGTAAAATTTCAGATCTGATATTTTCTCAAGTCGTCGTGAACCTCAATCCTTCGATTGCTTCGTTTCTTCAAAAGATTCACTTGAAAAAGATGCCGATTCTCAGTGGTTTTTATCGTTGTCTTCTGTTTCTGTAAGTTATTCTACCCGTTTCTCTTTTAGAATTTTAATTTCTTGTTCCGTAATTGTTATGGATTTTGCTTATCGTTTCTATTTAGATTTCGAAATGAAAATGTTTTGAAGCGATTAAAAAATTAGTATCAGATTTAAAACATTTTGGAATGGCTCTATGTTGATATCATATGGTAAATAAGGACTGTTGGATCAAAGTTTAAACAATCTGTAT